AGACTCGTGGATACATAACTACTTTGACAATGTTATGAAGAAATTCATGATCAATAACAGGATAGACACACCAAAAACTGACGTCAATTCGCTATATACATGTGGTAATCATTTACCAGTGAAGGTCGCCAGAAGGTGAATTCAAAGAAAATTCAGGTTGGAGCCCTGGAAGAACTACATGTATGAAGATCTTTTTCTTCCTAAATCTCTTATTAACATTGCTTTGATGTGATTATCAAGATCACTGCACATACTATTAGACAAAATACCGTGTTTGTACAGTATATTTTTGTTACAGTCTTACAAACCTTTCTTAGCTCTACTGTGACTTCATTTCTTCTTTGCCTCAGCGCCTGAATGCAAATACAAAGTAAAGGAATATTTTATTAAAAAAAGTCAAACATGTGTTAAGCAGACAGTGAAACCATTTTTAGGTGCACACTAGACAAGGCTCCCAAAATTTAATGGCCTTATTTATAAGTACTGTAAATTATACCCCTCTATTAAGAGAATGTGAGTGCCTAAAAAGTGGTTGATATGTTCATTTCCTTGTGCATAAAACACATAGTAAATGGACACTTATTCCTATAGAGTAGATTTTAAAACTCATTATATGTAAATAATGGTATACTGATCATTAATTATAAACAAAAACTGATAGAAAACTATAACCAATAAGAAAACCAATTATTAATATACTTGATGCATAATCGATTCTAGTAGAATTACTGCAGCTGCAATTTGATTGACTGAGCTACTCATACACCATCGACCATCAGTGTGCAATGTCAGGAGGTCACCTAAAAAATGGCAGCATTTTCTTGTTTCTCCGATCTTTCGACAAAGATTTAGAAATATCCTTGGATCATTCAATTCCCAACAACACTCAGGAAAGGAAATTGACCGTAATGCAAATACGAAACCCCAAAATCTTTCAATGAACTGGTGAGCGGGTGTAAACTGCTACAAGTTTCAAACAATAATCCAATCCTTGCACGATTTTGCTTGAGCATGAACCCAAATACTACCTAATTACAATTACAGAGAAAGGATTTAAAATTGATATTTGAAAGACATTTAGTCAGAATTCTACTAAAATAATTAGATTATTTGAAATCAATTTCTATGAAGAGAATGTGATAGTTGATTTGGCCTCTGGCCTCATCAACTATCACCTCATAGAAATTAAAACTAAAATACATGTAATTGTTATACAGAAAAAAAAAAGTATTGGTGACAAATAAGAACATTAAGTCCATTAAGTTGCCTTGCACATGCTATGCTACCCCGAACAAACAGTGTTAAATTGACGTGACTTCTCTTAACAAATTTGGTATTTTGTTTGTGTTTAATTAATAAAATTCTTACTTGATTAATTTCACACAACTGCACTACAATTGTGACTGAATGTAATTTAGGCTAAGTTAGACACAAAACAAGATTGCTGGCCAGCAGTCTCCCTCAGGGTGGGTATGGGGTAGCCAGTGGATTTGTGCAGGGGCACCTGGATTTTACAGCTTGGCTTCAGATGTCATATCATTCCACATGTTTTTCGCTGCTGGACAGATCTCGCTAAGCTTTATTTCCAGCCCACCCATCCCCCTTTGGCTTCATGGTACATTGTAAATATGTGGTAAGTATCCTGTGTTTCCACTGTTTTTTCAGTGTGACGGTGCCTTGGTAGTTGCCACTCACAGGGTTGTCAGGGATACCCTGCACTTGGTTTAGTTTGCTCCTGGGCTCCACCATCCTTTCAGGCACCATTCCCCAAGCTCATCGATTGTTGACGCGTTTAATCTAATGTTTCACTTCAACACCACTACTGTGACCAATACCACTAGCAAAGCATTCAGATATGTTTGTCTTGAAAAAGACCTTACAAGGGCTATTGGAATGCAAATAGAAAACTGGGGGTAGCCATACATTTTTCTGACATATTTAGGCTTGAATCTCACAGAAAAAAGGTAGCACTGTTGCTAAAAAACAAATACATCTAGCTCTTCATAGATTTCCTTAGAATTTCCTTTAAACTACATACACAACAGTCGTCTCAAATGTCACATCAACTTGTAAACAAGCCACATCAGCGGCACTATTCAGACTACATGTTAATCCATACATTTTGCAGTGGTGTTGTGAAAGATCCCCCATTTAGTCTGAATTACATTTGTCTGAAAAAATACTAAAATCTGAGGTCTTATGTTGTTACTCGTTGTTTGTTATCTGCAAGTGTTGTGAAATTAATTTTCAGTCGTGATTTGACTGATCAAAATATTATGCAAATTGGATACACTGCCCAAATTTTCGTTTATCTGAATGCAATCGCTTTCAAAAACTTTAAAACCTCTAAAACATAACCAAATGTTTTTCTAGTCTGTATGATCAAAAATCAGTCTTATAGCTCTTTAAAGTTTATTTTGTCTCTGTGGTTCAACATAGTTTGAATTAGTTTCCATACCACAGACTTGTTTTTGTGAAAAGTGTAAATGTACAAATTAGTCAAATTGTCCATCAGTTTGAATTTTTTAAAAATTTAGAGGATATGTATGGAAAATGTTGTTGGAGAACAAGGTCTTGCTCTCCAACAACTTTTTTCATACAAATCTTCTTATTCTTTTAAAACTTCAGACTGTCATAAAATCTCACCGTTTAATGATGGGGGCCTCAAACTTGGCCACAGTGTTTCAGCCAGAAAATTTTACTTGAGGGCCAAAGTGGCCCCTGAAGATCTTTTTTAGGGGCCAATTTTTTTAGGAAAGGGGCCTATAAATTAAAAGCTACAGAAGGAGAAAATGCATTAGGGTACCAAGGAAAATAAAGCAGTTTATTAGGATCTATGATAAAATTTAATAGTAAGTGCTCTTTGAAGTGTTTCTACACAATAAAGTTGCTAGTATGAAGGATCTTTGCATTACAAGAGAACAATACTTAGGCATACATGACGTAGTCAATGATCAAGGGTTTGCAATGCATTATAGGACAATTTTGAACATGGTCAGTTTTCTGATGTGAGAGAATCAACACACCAAAGCAAAAGGACGGATTGACTTCTTTTCTTATGTTGAATGTTTTAGAAGCAAAGATCTTTCAATATGATTTTCTAGAAGGACATAATGTGTGACGAAACAACCGTTATTTATCGTCAACACAGAGAAATGTAGTCGCCATTATCCCGTATTATGGCGACTAAACCAGAATTTGGTTGCCAAGGATGAAATGTTAGTTGCATTGGCGACCGTATCAATCACAATTTCGAGTCCTGGGATGGCTTTTAAAATATTATGCCTGTGTTAAGCCTGCAGTCTTGTAAAAGGAAAGGGCCAAATTGGCCCTTTTTTCATTTTTCTGGGGGCCATCTGTGATTGCAACGTGGGATTCCCGCAATGGCGCGCTCAGGCCGAAACACTGTTGGCCATATTGATATTTTCGACATGCTTTTTCCATTTCTGGCATTCGTTAAGTTATAGTGCATAATTTTATGGCTCAGCTGCAAAGGGACTATTATATCCAAAAAGATAGTTAATTATGTACTGGTAGATACTTGACTGAAGCAGCAAGGAACCTTAAATGCGTGAGAAATAATTTAGTTTCAGCCTGAGAGCACAAGATTGAATTCATTTACACGAGTCTCACTCTCGATGCGTCAGACTTCTGTGAGCAGTTCCGAATAGAAAGTGCAAAGTCAGCAAGCTTCACTTAACTATAAATACTGGATTAGGTGAATGCCATAAAGATCGTGTTCATGAAAAATAGTGACTTGGCTATAAGCCTTCTCCAAAAGTATATTTCTGCTATCCAAATGTGGGCTGTGACTAAAAGTGGGACTGGGACTCGGGGACTGGGACACGGGGACGCGGGGACGCAGGGACGTGGGGACGCAGGGACGCGGAGACGCAGGGACGCGGAGATGCGGGGACGCGGAGACGCGGGGACGCGGGGACTCAGGGACGTGGGGATGCGGGACGGGAGGACATCGGGACTCGGGGACTCGGGGACTCAAGGACGTGGAACGTAGGACTCGTTTTTCAGGGAAATCTATAAGACCAGTTTTTTTGCTGCGGTAAAAGACAAATTTGCAAAAAATAAAAAAACCTGCCTTTACAAACCCTACTTTGTTTGTGTTTAAAATTCGTATCCCGCAGGATGCAATATGCTGTAAAAATTTTGGACGATTTCACCAAAGGAAATTCAAGAAAGTTACAAATAAAGTCATAAAAGAGTAAAAAACAAATTTGTTTGGGCATTTATAAGTCAAGACTAAAACCCATAATTTTAATTGAGATAATAGTAAGACACTATTTAATCATTGCTTATTACATGTAATAAGTTTGAGAGGACCAGGGTTCTCCCGAAAATTTGAAGTAGAGGGAGAATAACTTTGAGTAGGTGGCGGACAATGCTGATAAAAAGACGTTGAGTGGTTTTATCAGAGCCACGTGGAGGAGGGGGGACAGACCGCCACCTTCTATTGCGGGGTCCGGGAGCCTCCCCGGAAAAATTATGAAATTGTACATGTAAAATGTACATGTAAAGAATCTTTCTCAAAACTCCAATTGTCAATTATTTTGATTTCTTTCCAAAAACGTTTTTCCGAAATTTGAGCTGCCAAACTTGGGGTGTGGCTGATCTACAAGTATGGCTTATCCACCTGTGTTTACGGTAACTTAACAAGTTAGCATTAAACCAAAAGAGAGGAGGTTACATCGCTTTTCTCTAGGGGTCACTCTCCCAGACATGCCCAAAGAATTAATTCCCTTCCGCAAAACGAAATCAGCTCAGCTAAAAATTGAAGCAAATCGTCTTGATTTTCTGGTTTTTGCCTAGAGGCCACACTTTTCACCCCAGACCATGCGACCCAAAAAGGATTGACCAAGACAAAATATCAAGGCATAGGAATTAGGCCAATATATATCTTGATTTTCTGGAGTAATCATGCAACCAAGTTTCCAACAAACCTGTCAAAAAGTTCAATGAATCAACAGCCTTAAGTGTTTGTTTGCCTTCAACTCAGTTAAACCCTTCACTGCCAGCCCCCATGTTAACCCCTGTGCCAGACACATCTTCAGACCTGTGCCGGACACATCTTCAGACTCGCCACTTTCATCTTCACTCGCCAACTCATACGATTCAACTTTGTTTTGATCGCTTTCAAAATCTTCATCGCCAGAATCATTCTGAATCCTTTCTAGAGCTTCCTGGGCATTATAATTTTGCTCCCTCACCAACATATTTTTCAACATTCCCAAGCTTGTCTCACATCTTCTCAGCACATGACAGAAACAAGATGGCGGAAAGTTACTGGCAAAACCAAGAACATTCTTCTGAGAGACTGGTAACTAATTGTGACCAATCTTCCAAGTAACGAAGATCCCATAGGCCAAAGGTTTTTGCATTTGGTGTGCCAAAGATTTGACTTTAGCCTTCCAAATCATGTGTAGCATGTGAAGTGTAAGACACATGACGTTCTCAGTACCTCATACACAGTCAGGCAGTGAAGGGGTTAATGACCACAAAAGGAGTGGTTCCCCTAAGGGCAATCAGAGCTTAAGTAACTGCCCCTTGAAAACACTCACAACAGGACGCACTACAATTTTTGACAACAACACACTTCAAATAACAACTTGGCATCTTTCTCTCTACAAAAAATGTAAGTTACTACAAAAGTCGCAATACAAAGGTCAGATACAGTGCAGCTCAGATATAAGCGAACTACACATACGCGTATCATGCGAACGTATTTTGCATATATGTATATGTCAATATGCACACATATACGCATATATACGTGCACATATGCGCATATATACACGCGCATGTCTCTTTGTTATGCAATCCCATAAGTTTCTTTATGTGAAGCATTGTTAGTCAAACAAAGGACATTATATTTCTTGGGAATGAAAATGGCGTCAAAGCAAAATTTGCATATTGTTTAAACGTCATGCCAATCAATAAAAGCTATCATATTTTGATCACTTCACAAATTCACCGACAAACTACTGTTTATAACACTTGCTTGATCTTAAGCTACTAAAATTGGGAAGAAATTGAAACAGTCGCTTGAACTCCCTATTTTAACACGTGAACTTTATGTTCTTACAAGTAAAGATCTGTGTTTTGGCACATGTCGGCAAGTCGTCTGCGAAATGTTTATTGTCTGAATTAGCGTTCTGAAGATCGTAGTCGAAAAAATTTTATCTCCGGTTATATTTGACACAGATTATGCATTCAAATGGTAAGATACTCTATCCTTGACGAAAAAATTGTCTATCAAAGTTTCTATGGTGCACCGCTCACGTTTAGTTATTTTTTCTTCAAGGAAAAGTTTTGTGTTTCGGCACGCGTCCACAAGTCATTTGCGAAGTGTTTATTGTCTGAAGATCCTCGTTGAAAAAATTATATCTCTGGTTTTATTTGACACAAATCGTTCATTCAAACGGTAAAATGCTCTTCCTTTTATCAAAGGATTGTTTATCAAAGTTTCTATGGCACGCTGCTCACGTTTAGTTATTTTTTTCTTCAATGAAAAGCTCTGTGTTTAGCCATGCATTGGCAAGTCGCTTGCGAGATGTTTATTGTTTGAAGCTTTCCAAAGACCTTGTCGAAAAAATGATATCTCCAGTTATATTTGACACAAACTGTTCGTTCAAACAGTAAAATGCTCTTTCTTTAGCAAAAATAATTGTTTGCCAAAGTTCCTATGGCGCGCTGCTCACGTTTAGTTATTTTTTTCTTCAGGGAAAAGTTCTGTGTTTCGGCATGCGTCGGCAAGTCGATTGTGAGATGTTTATTGTCTGAAGCGTTCTGAAGACGTTGTCGAAAAAAGGATATCTCCGGTTACATTTGACACAAATCATTCATTCAAACGGTAAAATACTCTTTCTTTAGCCAAAGAATTGTTTATCAAAGTTTCTATCGCACGCTGCTCATGTTTAGTTATTCTTTCCTCAAGTAAAAGTTCTGTGTTTCGGCATGCGTTGCCAAGTCACTTGCGAGATGTTTATTGTTTGAAGCGTTCAAACCTTGTCGAGAAAATGATATCTCCAGTATCTGACACAAACCGTTCATTCAAATAGTAAAATACTCTTTCCCTGACGAAAAAATTGTTTATCGAAGTTTCCATGGTGTGCCACTCACATTTTGTTATTTTTAATTTTCTTCAAGGAAACGTTAAGTGTTTCGGCACACATTTCCAAGTTGCTTTCTTGAACCATGTTGACTTTGTGTCAAGAAAAATGTTATCTTTCGGTTGTGATGTTTGCTCCATGAAGATGGGATTGTTGGAGCGTGTATCCCCAGTTCTATTTGACAAAAAAAAAACAGTAAATTTTTGATTTAACGGCAAAATACTCTCTCTTTTAATTGATATTCAGTCAGTTTATTTTCAGTCAAGTGCCCAATTGCAAAATGTTAGTTTCAGCTAACATTTTGCTTAGTCTGTAGGCATACACGCGTATACTGTATACGCGTATTCAAAATAAAGAAAACTCTTTCTCGCTCTGTGGCCAGCTGTCAAGCCATTGAAAACAACAATGACCTGATAAGAAAAGAAAGACAATATGGTTAGCTCATACATACTAATCTGATATACGTATATTTGTTGTATACACGTATGTGCATATATGCATACACATGTACGCGTATTGGGCTGACGCGAATTACGCGTATATTTTGGTTTGGATATATCTGAGCTGCACTGTAGGTTTACAACCAACTCTGACTTTCATTCAGTGATATTTCTTGTCACTTCATATCCAAATGAATGAAATTTTATTGCAAAAGCTTTGATTTTGCTCATATAGATACACAATTAGAAATAACGCACCACATAATATAGTAAACTTGCATCTGATCCAAATTAGGCAAATGATCATGATAGGTAGTGCAACACCCCCGTCACAATGAACCAAACTTCATATTCCTCAAAAGCCTTGTAAACACCTCTGCCAGCCCTGTCAGTCACCTCTGCCAACCCTGTCAGCTCACCAAATTTTACATAGTATCACGACAACACCCTTGCACTGTGGCCTTATTTAGTAATACTAACGATCAATTTTCGTGCAAGCTTACTCTTGAAAAGCTTTCAAGAACGCAGGTAAGCAAGTCTTAAATACAACTGCACCACTATGTGCATAACGCGCAATTTCTGCATTGACAACGAAACGTTCTTTAATATTATTCAACTTAAATGCCATCATTTGACACTATCACCTTTCCAATAAAACAAGAAAACAATTTTAAAGTAACGTGGTTCAAGATGTAGGACTGAACACATGCTGCACAAATGCAGTTGCATACCACAAGGCCAATTCAAATAACCCCGCCACTTCAGTTTCACTATTATTTAAATTCTACCCACCGATTGATCTTTGTCTTTGTTCTTGTAAAACCTCTGTCTCGAATCTGCGGATTTTGTAGACATTTCAGTTAGCTGTACAATCTTGACGTGAAGTTCCTAGTCACCGGTAACGAAAATCCGCCATATAAAAAAATCTGCTTCAACTGTCAGGAAATGCGCATAATCACGCCTCACGAAGACTGACCGGATTATACGCGGGCTCTTACTCACCGTGTCTCACCAATGAATAGCAATTTCTTCAGGATGCTCTTCGGAAAATTTGAATTAAACCCCTAAGGAAGACCAGTCTGGGGGTGGCTTGAGCTTTATGGTGGCTTAATACAGTTTTGATGGATTATAACAACCCAACTTCTAACTCTTTTGAGAAATGGTTCATGATGTTTTTCCTTTCTCTATTTACTCTCTATTTTTTTCCTCTGACTGTCTATGTCTTTTACAATTCTATGTGAAACTAGGCTCACAAAATGGCTGGAAATCGAGCGTAATGTAAAACTTGAACAATTTAAACGTCAACAAATGACCAAAATAAACGACCTAGTATCTAAGAAGAGACTGGGCCATAGGTTAAACGACGTTTTTCTCATAATCTACCCGGATGAACCCACCTCAAGATTTCAGGAATGAGAAATTGGCTCTGTTTAAACATTCATGCAATTTTTAAAAAAAATCTGAGACAGATTTTTCGCAAACTAAGGAAATGTGAAATTTTGCTTGTTTCACAGATAGCTCAAAATCTGTCTTACAGATTTTTAAAATTTTGGCTCCAAATGCGTTTCAACCCCACTAATCAACTGTGCAAAATTCATCATGGGTTGAGCGGCAGGCTCTCGAGCAATCTTTAATCAAAGACAGGCTTTTACAACCTTACGCGAATATGGGACTGTGCATGCCTTTTATTTAAGTGCGCGCTCATGTAACGCCATGTCTCGCGTGCGAGAATTAACAAATAGACATCACTTTTTTATGCGGCTGTCCTCTTATTGATGATAAATTGCGTCATAACATTGTCAAAGTGGCTGTGGAACCACGAGCCGTGGGCGAGTCAGTTCCGCAGTAAACTTTGACAATGTTACGACGAAATAATAATAATAATAATAATAATAATAATAATAATAATAATAATAATAAT